CCACCTTAATCCCGTCAACCTCACATTCCTACCTGTGAACTCCGTCGGGACTTTATCAACAGGCTTGCAGTATGAGACAGGGAAAGCGGTCCCCAGCCAGCCCGTCCATTCCCACCCGCGTTCAGGTAGATGAAACACGACGTCTTTACATGAAGCCGATTTAAATGTTCCAACCTTCATGGCCTGTTGCTAACTTGCCCAAAGCTGCCTCCTTATATAAGTAAGTGTGGCCTGGAGGTTTCTCAGCACACGGTGGGCTGTGACTGACCGGATGTGCGCACACGCCGCAACCCACTCTTGGCACACGCGGCGAGTCTCAGCCCAGCCCCGCAGCCGCGCTCCAGCCCCGCGCAGCGGCGCAAGCCACGTCAAGCCACGTCAAGCCACGTCAAGCGCGGGGCCAGGCCCGCAGCCCCTGTGCCGCGCTGCTGTTTTCCGTCCCTCTCTTTCCTTTTTCTGTCCATAAATCCTCTCCAATCCACCATGCAGCAGTGCCAGGGGCGCTCTGAACCCATTCTGGGCCTAGGGACTGCCAGTTCACACATTGTCCTTTGCTCGATTAAATTCTGTTAAATGTAATTTCCTGAAGTTTTTCTTTTAACACTATCAACTCTCACATTTTTCTGTTCTGTCAATCTGTTACTGTGGCCTGAGTCGCGGCTTCACCAGGGGTTTTGGTACCGCAGTGTGGGGGGCTCCCTGCAATGGGGTCCCGGGAACTCCTCGTCTCCACGCCCTCCACCATTTTGCTGACTTAGTACGTAAGGTTTTGGGTCCCCTGGGAGGGGCCAAGCCAAGGGACCTTGGCGGCTTGCTCAATCTTCATCTGATTAACCTGCCTAACCGTTGCCCTGAGGGATTGCTGGTCAGGTTTCTCGCTGTCAGCTCTGTCTTCTGGCTTTTTAAATGTCCCCAAACTGGGATAAATAGGGCAGACTGGTTTGGAATCCTTTAATGTTGGGGAGGCAGCAGGGGGTTGCTTTGGCCTGCACAGCCTTCCATAGTGTGGTATTGAGACCTTTGTTTTGATCCATCAAAAGAAAAAGTTTAGACAAATTACATTTAACAGAGTTTAATTGAGCAAGCAAAAAAAAAAAAAAAAGCAAAACAATGTATGAATTGCGCAGCCCTCAGAATTGCAGCAGATTCAGAGAGATTCTGTGGCTGGGGAAAGTGTACAGACAGAAAAAGGAAAGTGAGGTGCAGAAAACAGAAATGAGATACGGAAGCAGCCGACTGGTTACAGCTTGGGGTCTGCCTCATCTGCACACGGTCCGAACAGCCGGTCGCCTGTGAGTGGCTGGAGCACGGCCACCGAGGCTGGCTGAGCGAGCCGCAGCGGCTGGTGCAGAAGCGTCCCCGAACGCGGGTGCTCAGCGGCCCGCCTGCCAAGCTAGGCTAGATTTGTCCGTAAGGACTCAGGCAGGCGCGAGTGTGGGGGCTTTCTCAGGCCAGAATTTAGTTTGATTTAACAATCCCCATCAGTGTCTGTCTGGTGCATCCCATTTGTTAACAACCATCTAGAGATGTCAACCCTGCTGGGACAAGTCCTGTGATTCTCCACTTCTTTTTTCCTCTTTGGTTTACTCCTTTCAATATTTGCTTTATTCACCTTCTTTCTTTTTTTTTTTTTTAATTTTTTTTCTTTCAGCATATTACGGGGATACAAATGTTTAGGTTACGTGTATTGCCTTTGCCCAGCCCGAATCAGAGCTTCAGCCGTGCCCATCCCCCAGACGGTGCACGCTGCACCCATTAGGTGTGAATACACCCCTCCCCTCCTCCCCACCTGCCCGACACCCGATGAATGTTACTACTGTATGTGCACGTAAGTGTTTATCAGTTAATACCAATTTGATGGTGAGTACATGTGGTGCTTGTTCACCTTATTTCTTAATAATCACTTAAAAATTTCCACCTTTTTGAAGAGTCCTTCAACTCTTCTCTTGGCCTTTCCCCATTCTCTTGCTAAGTAACACGGCTTTGCTGTGAATCGAAAGGCCTGTTTCTGACACCTGTTTTGTTCTTATAAATCAGTTTGGAATGAATCAATGTTAGCATTATACATTCCCTTTGACTGTAGCCCACACACACCTGTGTTGAAAGCCCTTTATCATAAATAGACAGGAGGGTCACATGCACTGTTTTCCTCAATGCTCTGAATAAACAGTCTTAAGAAATAATAGTTTGGTCAAGGAGGAAATTGGTTGCTAATTCCTTATAATCGCTGAGAATTATGCCAATAAAAATTTTACAGAAAAGGTCCTACTCTTCATTCCCTAACAGTTCTCCATGCAACATTTACAGGGTGCTCTTCCTGTCTCCCTGGATTCTCTCTTTGAAGAACGCAGTCTGGTCAGGATGTTGACTCCCGTCTGGGTTTCTGCAGGTTAAATGCCCAAGAAATTCTAATCATGTCTGGATCTTAATGGAGAGTCGCTTTGGCAGATGGAACCGTGTGAAGACCCCCAGTGGCCAGACCAAAGCTACGTGGGCCTGCGCTTGCATCCTGGCTGCTCCTTTACCCTGATGTCGGGAAAAGAAACGATTTCTTCTCCTCGCCCATTGCTGGGTTCGTGGCTGAGGCCCCTGTCCACAAGAGACAGATTAACAAGAGAAAAGCTACACATTTATCTAAGTTTTACATGCCTCGGGAGCCTTCGGAAGTGAAGACCCAAAGAAACAGCGACATCTGCGTTTCTAAGCTTCGGTTTCATGAAGCGCGGACAGCTGCAGGGAGGTGGGGCGGGAACAGACTGGGGGGCTTAGTCAAGTGTGCTTGTTTAGATTCTTCTCTGCGTCCCTGTGTCTTCAGGTCTAGGACAGGCACCTCTCAGACGAGGGTATTGTGACCCGATTCAGGAGAGAGGGGCAAGGGAAGGCGAGAGGGAGTTTCCTGCTTCTGCGGTTTTCTCAAACGCCATGGTGCGGGATTTTGGAGTGGCGTGTCCCGAACCCCCTCACCCCCTCGGAAGCCAAAGGCCTAACTAAATACTTTGTACTTAATTTTACATAGAGTAGTAATAGTCCTTAAAGACAAGTATTGTCTAGGAGGAAGGAAACTTAGTACTTAACTGTCTGGGTCTTTTGAAAAAAATGATTCTCCAGAACCTGGTGCACGATGAGGAAGATCTTTGCAGCGGTCAGCAAGGTCCAGCAGCAGCGTGAGCTGACACCGAACAGGGAGAATTCACATGTAGCTACCTGGGACAGGCGTTGAGGAACTGAAGCATCAGATGTGCTACTCTGATGTCCTAGGAGGTGCCTTCCTTCCAGGAGGTTCCATGGGCCACGCTTCTGGATCAAGGCAGATCACCTGCAGCTCTGCTTGGCCCCGGAGCCCTACGCCCAACCCACCTGGCGGTGACGCAGATGGGCGGCAGGGAGCTGAAGAAGAAAACAAAGGCATGTGTGGGATGGGAGCCGGGCAGAGAGGAAGAAAAAAGCGGAGGAAGTCCCAGTGGATGACCACTAACTACTGAAGCTACCCTAGTCAGCAGTAGTCCTATGTGACCCCATCTACAAGAAGAGATAGGAGCTTGCCCAGGTGACACGGATACTTCAGGACCAGGCGGGGCTACAGTCGGGCTCTGCTGACTCCCTTTCTGGTCCTGCCGCACATCCCTGTTGGCTGAGTACAGAACACACAGCACCCATCACCGGGAGACATGGGTGTCAGTCATTCTTGTCTCGGGTAGACTTCAGCTTGGCCAGGAAGTTGCACCGACCCCAACAGATCAGATGTCAACTGCTGAAAGCATCCTGCTTAGCAAATGACCCCAAAGTCTCCTCTTCAATTGCTGATGGGTCACCCTTGTTCTGCCCTGGTGTCCTCTGAAACCCTGGCACCTGGCTTGCCATAGGAGGGTGTCGGCTCTAACTTCCCACCTCAGCTGCCCCTGTCCTCTTGCGTGGGACGCTGAGAAAGTGTGAGCACGGCTGCCTCCCTCAGTGCTGAGAGAGGACTTCGACCTGGGACAGTGTCTATTACACTGTAAAGGAACCTGACAGAAGATTGAGAAATACTTCCCACATTAATTACAATGAATTATCAGATTATATGGACTAAATGACCATTTGGCATCGGATCAGATTTCCCTCTGGACACACTCCCATAAAGAAGGGGACATTCCACAAGAGACCCGCACTCAAATCCTAAGTGTTGAGTTAGCTCTGCCCCTACGCTCCTTGCTCCTTCCCTCTGCCATTTGGCCTTGGAGTTGTTCACTCGCTGGCTGCCCGAGTGGCTTTGCTATAGTCTCGAGCCTGTCGCCTAAGGGGACTGGTTTTAGGGCGGGTATGCTGCGGAACAGCAGCACGTGGAACCGTGTTGAAGGACTGTGCAAACCTATTGCTGCAAGCGATCTGAGTCCTAACACCTCCTTATCAGATCATCCACTCTAAGTAATTCCTACCCAATTTCAACATCACTTCCCCTCCGCCAGCGAAGCGGCCCTCGCTGGCGCTCCCTCCCTCCCTCACGGTGTAAAGTCTGGTGTGTTGAAGTGAGCCGTGAACCGTGAACCGTGAAGGGTGTGGATGAGTCAGACTGAAGTGCAAGTGTCTGCACCTTCCCTAGTAAGAGGCAGTCGGACCGTCTGCGGGCCCCCGGGGTGCAGCGAGGTTTGACGACCTCTGTCACTTTTTAACTGGCGGCTCCACGGCCCTGTGGTCACCGTGGAGGTGGAGCACGGGGGTGGGGAAGGCAGGGACCTCACGGTGGACAGACCGGCCTCGGCTCCCGCCTGTTCACTCACGAGGCCGGCTGCGACCAGGAAGGCCCGCGCTGCTCTGAGCCCGCTCACTCAGCTCATGCCGGCGGCGCCGCAGCGGCCTCTGCTGCCCCACGCAGCCGCAGTGGAGGTCAGTCGGCAGGTGGCCCCGCTGGTGCCCGGCTTTTTGCTTTTTTAAGAAAACAAAAAGCTTGCAGCTGCAGTGAGGGGGAAGACTCCTAGGGGTCACTGCTTTTAGGCCATGCTATTATACCCACTGAGTATTTTGTAGAAAAAAAGAAGAGAGAAAACTGGATTAAATTCTGGTGGTGTGCTATGCAGGGGTGCCAGCAGGCACCTTCTCCACGTGGCAGTTGTGATGCATTAAGGATCCTCTTGTCCACCAGGAAAGACAGATGGCCTGTCGCCCCTGTATTTGGGCACATCAACACCTTCCTAAAGAGACACCCCTGACCCACAGTGAGGCAGAAAGGGGCTGCTGAATCCTTTCCTCTCCATCATAAGGGTCACGACTGCCAACCCTGTAACAAAAGACAGGTTAACAAGAGAAAAGCACGACAAATTTACTTGATCATGGTTGTATGTGATACATGGGCCTTCAGCACGAAGACCCAGCGAAGTAGGGAGAACGGTTCATGTTTATGCTCAGGTTCGATGAAGAATGGACAGCGTATAGAGCTGCGAGTGGGCAGCAAGGGCATGAACTGACGCTGACGGGCAGGGGCAGAGCCCACAAGGCCTGTCTGTGCAGATCCTTCCCGGCCTCCCTGTGCAGCAGCCTTCCTCCCGGGTATGAGGAGGACCCTCTCGAATGAGGAGGGTGTTCGTTCCTTTACGGCCAGCTGCCACACACAAAGGCAGGGGAAGGTTAGAGTGATGCGTTTAGGCTTTATGGCTGGCTTTGGGGAAAAGGGGTTCTGTTTTTTTGTGACCTGCCTTAGAGAAAAGGGATTCTAGCTCCACGGCTAGCTGTCGGGGAGAGTGGGGGGCTAGAGACAGGAGGGCGGGAGAAGGTCAGACTTTGCTTCTGATGCCCTCACTTTGGGGTATCATTTTCTGAGCCCCAACAGAGCACAGACAGAAAAATCCAGAACAAAATGACAGCGGCATGAACACACCCCACTTGCATTTATACTTGACCTGCCCATGAGGTGAGCACTTTATACTTCCCTCACAAATGGGTCCAGGAGAAGGAAACTTCAGGGTTAAAAGGCAAGAGTGCCAGATTGGAGCAAAAACACTTTTAAAAAGCGGAATTATAAAATCTGGAAAAAATCAAAACAAGCAGTCACAGCACGCGTCCCGAGCACACTCGCTGTTTGGAGAAGGAGCCCAGGGGTAGGGCTCGCAGACCAGTCTGAGTGTGGACAAGGGCGCTGACCCGAGACCTGGACTCACACCCCCCGGGCAGCCAGACACGTGTGCTTTCCGCACGCGCCCTGGGGAGATAGGGGTATATTAGGTTCCTGGACACTTGGGGTGCCAGAGGAGGATTAACGGGCTGTGATATGGGAAAGCACTCAGATTCCTCCCCTGCGACACAGAGAAAGGGCTGTTAGTGGTGCGGTGTGGGCAGCCACAGCTCATGAGGCACTAGTGACATCGCGCCTGCCCGGGGAGCCGCTCGGGGCACTCTGGGAGCACAGCAGGGCGCTCCGCTGGAGAGCTGCACACTTTGAAGCCTGAGCAAGGTCTCCTTCCCAGGTCAACTCTCACCCCTTGACTTTCGGCCAGGATCTGTGCTGAGCTGGCCGCAGCCGCTCCGGGCAGCACTTGGGACGTCTCGGGACAGCAGCAGGACTGCCGGCCTCCGGAGCCATGCCCACCGTGGACGACATTCTGGAGTACATAGGGGGGTTCCACTTTTTCCAGAAACAGACATTTTTCCTCCTGGCCCCGTTCTCGGCCGCCTTCGCACCCATCTACGTGGGCATCGTCTTCCTGGGCTTCACCCCCGACCACCACTGCCGCAGCCCCGGGGTGGCCGAGCTGAGCCGGCGCTGCGGCTGGAGCCGGGCGGAGGAGCTGAACTACACGGCGCCGGGCCCGGGCGCCGCGGGCGAGGCCTTCCCGCGCCAGTGCCGGCGCTACGAGGTGGACTGGAACCGCAGCGCCCTGGGCTGCGTGGACCCCCTGGCCGGCCTGGCGGCCAACGGGAGCCGCCCGCCGCTGGGCGCCTGCGAGCACGGCTGGGTGTACGACACGCCCGGCTCCTCCATCGTCACCGAGGTGAGTGAGCTCAGCCCCCGTGCGGAGCAAACAACTGAGCTTTTCTTAGGGGAAAAACCGGGAAAGACCCGGCTCTCACAGCTGGGCCTGGACATGCTCTTTGGACTCCATCTCGCTTATAAAGCCCTAGTTTCCGAACCAAAGCAGGCAGCTTCTGGTTTGTGTGGACAGCGAGTGGACTAGTTCAAACTAAAAAATTAGTTTCCTCAAATTCCGACAGCGATGGTTCTAGCTCACACATGTCTCAGCAGTAAGAAATGGGCATAGCACATCAGCGCCCTGGGAAATGATGCCAGGAAAAGGGGTGTCATGGAGCCCCCTCTTTTTCTGGAAGCCCCACCTCTCCCTGTGCTCGTCCACCATACAGACGGACCCCCGAGGGTGGCGGGGCTCCCCGAGCTGTGCCTCGCTGCGTGGCCGGGTATAGACGCTTCTCCCTCAGCGGCTGCCTTTTTCTCTAACTTGCTCAAAGAGGCTTGCCTTAAGAGGCTCTTGGCATGGCTCATCCCATCCCTTCCTGCAGAGATGAGGAAGTGGGGGGCCCAGAGCAGAGGAAGTTCTGCCCCAGGCAGAACATGAGGAGGGAGTTGGCAGAGTTGGCCCAGGCAGCCACATCTCCTGTGGCCCCTGAGCCCTCCCCTTAGCCAGAGGAGAACAAAGGAGAGCGTTAGCAGGCGCCCCTAATGCTCTTGCTGTTAAAGTGACAGCGATGAGATGCCACACAGCTCAGCTCTGCACGGCCGCTTCTGTGTCATGTCAACACACCTGTCTGCCTCTGTGTATTCAAGTTAGAAGGGTAAAAAAATGAATTTGTCTATAAATTGGAATAATTACCCAATTTCAGCTGATTTAGCCAACACAACAGTCCAGCCTAATGACAAACCCCCAGAGGGAAGGGCAAATCTTTTGGTCACATAAAGAAAATTAACATAGTCGAAAAGCAGTTGGTTTATTGCCATTCAGCCACGCACTTCAATTCAAGGAATAGTGAACGTGTTTCCTGGGTTGAGCTGTGTCCAACAGGACCCTAATGGGATTTTGTTTTCTTCCTCTCCTCTCGGAACACGTCTCCCGCCTCGGCAGTTTAACCTGGTGTGTGCCAATTCCTGGATGCTGGACCTGTTTCAGTCATCGGTGAATATGGGATTTTTTATTGGCTCTGTGGGTATCGGCTACATCGCAGACAGGTAGGTGAAGCACCTGTGGCGGAATTTAAACAGCCTCGCAGGTTTGGAACACACTTGGACACACCTGCCCCTTCTTGAACACCATCCCCTCCCAACACAGGTACACCATGGTCTCCTGGCTTTAACGTCGATTGCTTTCACAGTCTTAGGTTTCTTCTGCTACTTTGATCATCATGAACCGTGTCTTCATTTGCAGATTCTCCGAGGCCTTAGAAAAACGTTTAGGCAGCAGTTTCTCCATGTGGGCTACCCAGCAGCTTAGGGTCAGACAGCAGAGGAGCAGATGACCTAACCCCCTTGGTAATTCCCAGTTCATTTTTTGACCTCATCACCATCCACTTGGTCATGGGCGTTCGGGGCCTCTGGGCTCTGTGTCACCCGCCATCTGCTGTGTCTCAGGTACTGGAGCCACCAGCACCAGGCCCGGTGCAGAATGTCCCTATGCCCGTGGGATTGCAGGATTCCTGAACTGGGTCCCTGGGGCCAGATGTGACTGTGTGTGGAACCTAGGGTGTGATCTATGGAAGGAGACCAGGATCTGTCTGCACCAAAGGAGGTCTCTGTCCTCCTCCACAACCTCAGTGTCTCTGGAGAGAGAGGACAAAAGGCCCTCGGGTGACTCCGTGTGTTTAGAGGCTGGTCTTCCATGCTCACACTGACCAGGCTCTTCTTATCTGTCTTGTTTATCCAGCATTTTGGAAACCTGAGCTCCTTTCGTGAGACCGACTGTTTATTGAGTGTTTTCCATGCTCCAGGCACTGTGCTCAACATTTTGGACAGTATTACTCTCCTTAATCATCAATCACCTAGTGAGATAGTGGCTTGTAACTATATAAATTATACATAGCATACATGTATAAGCATGAATCTATAACTCTGAAATCAATGCTAGAGACACTCCGTGCCTGCTGCCCTCCCCGAGCACCCCAGCTCCGCCCACGGTACAGCCCAGACCTGTGGGTATAACAGTAAATGTTATTCTCTGGTTATGTTGTCAGGAGGGATTAAAACTTGCAAATGTGGTGAAGATTAATAATGATGACTTAATGTCTCCTCCCCCTTGGGGACACCTGCCTTTCACAGGGGAGGGGGCCTCCTGGCAGCAGGAGGGAGAGGGATGGAAGTGGCGTCACCCACGCTAGTTGCCCTCCGCTCAGCCTCCCTGCCAGGGCTCCTCCTGGGCTGTCTGGGGGAGCTCCCGAGGTGAAGAGGAAGGTCGTTCGTTTTTATTTTTACTGCTGCAGCATGGAGGAGGGTTGTCGGGAGATGTCCCATTAAGTCAAGAGAGACACTAACGAGAGGGTCCGGAGCCCGAGCTCGCTGGGGGCTGTCTGGCCGAGTTGTAAGGTGGGACCCTCACGCTCAGTCCGCGGGGAAGGATGTGAGCCCGTAGGGGACTGAGCTTTGCACAGCGGGGGAAGGAAATTGGGTAATTATTTTCATCCCACTCAACGGGGAGGAAACTGGTTATGATTTCCTCTGACAGTGCATTCCTGAGTGATAATCCGCAGTTACCCACCTTCTCAGACGACCTCATCATTCCTATTGTTGAAATCTCTTCTGCAGGGTTGCTGACTCATTGTTCTCCCCTCAAATGCCGTCTACTTGCCTCTTTTCCTTAAGCTGTCTGAAGTTTTGCCGGCCATTGCCTCCTCTTCTGTTCTGTCTGTGCCTGTAGGCAGGAGTGTGAAGGGTGGCCTAAAGGAACAGGACAACCACCATAACATTAAAAAAAATAATAATTTTCTTTGCATAATTCATGCCTACAATCTTCATATTTTATATAATGGGACAAGAATCTCACGGACACCCATATTTTATCTACAGACTAAACTAACATTAAATAAAACATTGTCTACCATGAAGAATTTTTAAAATATACCCTAATAGCAGATTAGGGTGTCTTCTAAAAGGAAACCAAGAGGATATTATGAGAAAGTTGTAAACAAGAATACTGGAGAGCTGGCCGTGGTAGTGCACGCCTGTAGTTCTAGCGACTCAGGAGGCTGAGGCAGGAGGATGGTTTGAGCCCAGGAGTTTGAGGCTGCAGTGAGCTACGACTGCGTCACCGCACTCCAGCCTCGGAGAGAGAGAGAGAGAGAGAGAGAGAGAGAGAGAGAGAGAGAGAATACTGAGTTTTACCCCAAGTCAACTTTTTGAGGGTCAGCTTTGGAAAAGGAAGGAAGGAAGGAAGAAAAGGAGGGAGGGTGGGAGGAAGAGCATGTGTTAGACAATTTGCGAATGAATCTTTTATAAGACGTCTAATTTATTCCATCAGCCATAACCTCCTGAAGAGTGATTTTTGAGTGTCACTTGGCACAAAAAAGTAATCCCTCACCGATTCCAGGTGTTTTGCTCTAATGGTTAATAATCATAAGTGCTCGTTTTAGTGCATGCTTGTGAATGTTTAACAGCTGGCTCTCTGGGAGAAAAGCTGATTTCCAAGGTGCAAACACACCCACCCTGGCCCATTTCAAGCTATCAAAGAGAAGTCACCGGACACAATGTTGGCTAGAAATTTGTGCCGTTACACAACATTTCCACTATGCAGACACAGCAGACGTAAGTAACCTCACACGCATGGAATGGCCAAATACAGTAAAATCATTAGGAAGCAATAAGTTTTGCATATTTATTATACTTGTTTTTGATATAACTTACTTAATTATAAATGTATCTAATTTAATTTTTAATAATGGTGGTGTTGGACAACTAGCTTGCCAATTTTCTGAAAGTCTAGTCATCAGCTCTCCAGAGCCAGCGCCCCACTGTCTGTATGTCAGGATAGAACCAGATCAAAGCAGAAACGGGGGCCCAGCGGGCTGCAGCCGAACTTACCCAACCAGCCAGGATCTTCCGAAACAAGTTCTCCACTGATTACTGTGGGCCGTTTGCTTCACTGTGCATCTTCATTTGTCATAGTTCATTTAGGATCACGACAGCATTTTTAAAGTACATTTTATAATCCATAATTTACAGATGAAGAAACTGAGGCCCAGTGAAATTAAAGTGCTGCTTCCTGGATGTTCAGGTGCATATAAACCACTGGGGGAGCTTGCTAAAAATCAGATTCCGATCCAGCGGGTCTGGGGTGGGCCCGAGGTTCTGAATGTCTAACTAGCTCCCAGGTGATGCTGTTCATCCCTCCAGTCCCCTGCTGACAGTCCTGGACCACGTCCTGAGTAGCAAGTAGCTAAAGGACATAGGAAGCTGGCAGTCCTGGGAGCCCGTCTCGCCTCTCCTATTCCAGCAATTTGTTTTTCATTTAACCACTTAAGTATCTGTGCTGGGTAGAGAGGAAGTCTGAAACCACTATCCCTAGACCTCCCAAACTTCTTCTAGCCATGCCTTATTTTTAAAAAAATATAACATTGTATCCCAATTTGGAAGATGTCCCCCAGGGAAGTTTAAGGCCACGATTAAACCAGGTTGCCAACTTTTTCCTCTATTCTGTGTATTGGAACAGCTCTCTGAGTCCCTAAACTAATGCAACCTAGTTCCCTCGAATCTCCCCAAGGTGTTCCAAACCAAGGCCCCATGGGATGGTAACGTGTGTGTGTGTGGCACCAAAGACAATTTCCATGCAGACACACAAAGACCGTGTTGAAAAGGGATGAGGGTGTGTAGTGAACACTGAATTATGTTTTTCCCAAAGCAAAAACTCTCTTGGGTGGGCAGTTGGCTGAGACTGCTAGAGCAAAGGCTGCAGCCCTAATGATGATGTAAGAGGCCCGGAGGGCATGCGGCACTGGGTGGCCTGGAAGAATACCTGCCTGGCGTGGGGGTGTGGGCCGGAAGCACTCTAACCCTGGTGAATGGGCCCATTGTGCTTAAACTTCATACACAGCAGCTTGGTGAAAAGTGGTAAAGGAACCGAAGGCCGATTCTCTCTGTGGCTGCCAGTCCGTGCCTCTTTATTTCCATGATTTAGAGTTAACTTCTGATTTTGTTTAGATTTCCTTATCTTCCAGGAATTTACCCCAGCCTTCAGGAGTGAAATTTAATTTGATTCCCTCTCTTTGTTTTCCTCCCTGCAGGTTTGGCCGTAAGCTCTGCTTCTTGGTTACAATCCTCATCAATGCCACATCTGGAGTTCTCATGGCCATTGCCCCAACCTATACATGGACGTTAATTTTTCGCTTGATCCAAGGACTGGTCAGCAAAGCGGGCTGGTTAATAAGCTACATCCTGAGTAAGAATGTGTGTGTGATTGCAGCTGTGGGGACAAAGGAGCTTTGCTGCCAAAATACAGGCCGGTGGGGGGCAGCTCTGCGGGAAAACAGACCCAACTCCAAGACAATGTTGACAGGTTTTGTTTTTCCATATCAAAAGAATTTCTAAAATCATTTCAATCATCTCATTCTGCCTTCCTCCTATGAAGAGAACAATGAAAGCAGAAACAACGACAAACATCATACCACCCAGATTCTTACTATATAGAACTCTTGTGGAATTTTTGTTTTTCTATTATATCGACAGAAAATCCAGCCCACCTATTCACAAAGAAGATTTCAATCATGAGAGAAAATAGTATACTTATAGAGGACTTTAATGTTTTGAATAAATCCATTCTTGTACACCTCAATTATCCTCAATTTTCATACAAGGAAACTGGGAATAGGAGTACTGTGGTCAGCCTAGATTACTCAGCCAGCCATTTGTAGGAGCAGGAATATAATTTACACCCTGTTCATTAGTAGCCAGAGTTATGGGTAAGCTGCATGGAGTGTAAGAGAATATTTGAATTTTAACAGCATAGCATCTTCAGCAATATTCAGAAAAATCACCACCACATTAGATCTTGGGAATTAACCTCATCCTTACTTTCCCTTCATCTACATTCAACCAGAATCTATACAAAGGGAAATGGATATTTTGAAATTAAAATAATAATAATAATAATAAAGCTCTCATTACACATGAGAAAACTAGAATATGTGTGCTTGCAATTTTACCTGGGAAAGTTATTTGGGGAATTCCATAAAAGGAAGAGGCACTAACTAGTCCTGCCAGTGTAGGCACTTAATGAATGTTTGGTCAAAGAAGGGATTAATGTGAGCAGTATTCAACCAGTAACTTGGTGTGTAGGAAACACAGTATGTAGAATTATACAGAATTTAATTGTGTAAATGTGAATTTCAACAAAAGTTAATCTTAGCCTCCTCCCATTAATTTCTTCTGCTATCCCTCCGAATGTCCATGACCTAAGCCTCACTGCTCCACTCTGCCTATGCTCCCACCCGAACTTCATCCCTGACCACAACCCCTCTGAAAGACAGACATTTCTGTTTATGGAGCACTTACCTCTGTTTACCTGTTTTACAATATTTTCAGATAATTCACAGTAATTTATAGAAATATTTTTAGGGTGCATTTCCATTTGGTTTATAAATAATTGAAGTCTTTAACATGTTTGCCAAACATTTAAAACAAAGAGCGTGGCTTGTGGAATATCTTGAATTTCTAGTATGTCTGTCATGTAAACACAACTATCCTCTAATTCCATGTACATGGACCTCGTGTCTGTCTTGATGTCATCACGGACGAGATAGAGCTGATTATCGTACCCTGTGCAGTGATATGCTGCCAAATCGGCTCTTAGAGAATAAAAAGCCCTGATTTGTAGAGTTTTCCAGTTTCCAAGATGTAAATACTCCCACCATGGTTGATCTCAAGATACCAATGGGTTGAACAATCAGCTTGCAAAATTCCTGAAAATTTAAAAACCAGTTCTTGCAAGCCAGTACTATCTGACTGCAACCCTCTGCTAAGTTTCCAAGGCATTTACACAAATAGGATTGCAAAGGAATATGTAACTCATGTAAGAGAATATACAGGTGTTCATTTACATAAAAATTATCTGCAATCTAAATTCAATGCTTGATTTGCTTCTTCAGGTCTTGAGTTATCACTGCCTTATTACTCTAGATCAAAATTTTGCATATACAAACTCAATTGCCTTTGTCCTTGAAATTATTCTATAAATCAAATGTTTTTGCTCGTGTGGGCATGCCTTTCATCCTATCTAAGATGAGATTATAAAATTTCATATCAATTAATACAACAGCAATTGTTATAACAAAACAAGAACTAAAGGGCATTTAAAAATATTCAGAGAGCTGTATAGAAAATTCTAGAATATGGACTGTATTTTTGAAGTTGCCATTCTAGTTTCCTGATAGTCAGCCAACTCACTGCTGTGCTGAACTGCACTGACCATGTGGATTCTCTCTGCAGTTACAGAATTCGTGGGGCCGAGCTATCGGAGAACAGTGGGGATTTTTTACCAAGCTGCCTTTACCGTCGGGCTCCTGGTGCTGGCGGGGGTGGCGTACGCTCTTCCTCACTGGAGGTGGTTACAGTTCGCAGTCACTCTGCCCAACTTCTGCTTCTTGCTCTACTACTGGTAAGTCCACTTGGAACAAACAGGAGATAAATCGAAATATTTTATGTTGCCAAAAAGGCTGCCTTAGTGCATAATGTCCTTCTGATTCCTAGGTTTCTTTCAATTTCCAGGCTTATTTCACAGGGAGCCCAATTCCGTGTTTCAGGGATAAGAATCACAAGTTTTAGCCTGTCTCTCCTCGACACCCCAAGCCTGGAAATCAAATGTCTTTCTCTCTGGGCTTAAAGTTTTTGCGACCTGGATCTTACATTTCTGCATCACTTATTTGGTGTTTAAATTAGCAGCTAGCAGCTGTGGTGCAATTTAGACTGTAGACCCTTTGAAGAGATTGATAATAGTTCTGTCCCTCCTCAGAGGAAACTTTAGGATGAAGAAGGCAAAACATGGCATTTGTGTCACCACTTCCCAATACCTGTGCCTGAGGCAGACATCCCCAATCAATCACAGCAGTCTCCATCTCGGATAAGGCCACCATGGCACTCCAGATAGACCATATCAATCCATCAAAGTTACCAAGGAAAGTAAGTTTCCCTGCCCAAGGGAAACACATGGGAAATGGCAGGAGCTGTTAGAAACCTCTAATCGACTCAACTTGAAATAAAGCAAGGGGGATGCTGGATTATCAGACCAAATATCTCTCCCATGCAATAAACCCATTTATTTACTTCCTACGGGATGTATCCACTGTTCTTCCCATGGTTGTCTTGCCTGAGACATAAATGTTGCAACCTTCCCCAGGAAGTGTGTTTCCTTGTCCAAAAGCCAATAAAACTCTGTGTCTTAGTCAGCTCAGGCTGCTATAACTGCGTACATAAAAACAAACACCTCACAGTTCTGGAGGTTGGAAAGTCCAAGTTCCAAGTGTGGCAGAGTCCATTCCTGAGAGGGCGTCCTGGCTTCAACACAGCTAGACTTGTTGCTGTGTCCTCACATGGTGGCAGGAGAGAGAGGATCCTCTGGCCTCTCTTCCTCTTCTTATAAGAACACTAATCACGTCCTGGGGTCCACCCTCCAGGCCTCATCTAATTACCTGCCAGAGACCCCACCTCCAAATTACACATTGGGGTTGGGACATCAGTGTATGAGTTTTGGGAGGACACAACATTCAGTCCATGACACTCTGACAGTGACCTGTATCTCCCCTCCCTCATCTTCCTCTACGCATTTCCACCTCCTCGGCCAGGCGAGGTGGCTCACACCTGTAATCCTAGCACTCTGGGAGGCCGAGGCAGGCGGATTGCTCGAGGTCAGGAGTTCAAAACCAGCCTGAGCAAGAGCGAGATCCCGTCTCTACTAAAAATAGAAAGAAATTAATTGGCCAACTAATATACATATAGAAAAAATCAGCTGGGCATGGTGGCGCATGCCTGTAGTCCCAGCTACTTGGGAGGCTGAGGCAGGAGGATTGCTTGAGCCCAGGAGTTTAAGGTTGCTGTGAGCTAGGCTGACATCATGGCACTCACTCTAGCCTGGGCAAGAAAGTGACACTCTGTCTCAAAAAACAAAAACAAAAACAAAACAAAACATTTCCACCTCCTCTATACCTCAGAATTCACCCATTTTCTTTTCCCATTAGGAAATCATTATTATTTCTTGCTTGGGTTGCTGTGATAGAGTCCCAACTGGTCTCCTTGACATTTGGTTTATTGTCTTTAATCCATGCTTCCTGCCACATGTTAGCCATCCAGTTCCACCATGTCACTGCCCTGCTTAAAATTCTTTCCACGGTTTTTCCCTGCAGAATAAAGATCTAGTGCTTTAGCATGACAGATAGGCCACCTATTATCCAAGTTCTGACACCTCTCAAGACTTCCTCTTGCCACTGTCGCTGAATAGAGTCAAACTGAATTTGCTTACAATTCTGCAAGCTCCCTCATGGGCTTTACATTTTTGAAAGATTGCTCCAGATGCAGAGTAGAAGACAGGTGTCACAGGGGAAAAATTGAGGCAGGGAGACCAGAGAAGAGACTATTGTAATTACCCTCACAAGAGAGGGCGGAGGCCTGAATTAAGATGGAACTGGTTGGTATGAAGAGGAAAAATTATAAGTAAAATTCTAATGAGGCAGCAATGACAGATCGTGGTGACAAACTGTATGTGTGAGCTCCCTGTGGTGGCCTGCACACTTCCACCTCTGCTGCTTGACCCTCTGTCAGTTCTTGGGCCTTTGCAAACCCGGGCCCACTCCGGCTGACCCGCCTCTCCTGTGTGGAGCGTGGAGTCAGGTATCCAGCGGTACCCCACTTGGCAGCTCGCTTCCTGGGGTTCCACTTGGAAATCTCTGAGGAGGGAGCCGGAAGGCTTCCTGGACAAGGCCGACCACAAGTCCCATTTGAGGGAGGAAAGAGCCACCTGTCCCCCTGCGTGATTGTTAGTTTCTTTGTGGATCCAACTGGACCTTACTGTGTAAGATCCTCAAAGACATCTGGCTAGGAAAATTGGAGTTGGGGGGACGTCAGTAAGACTTTCTCCTCCACTGACCTTGTACCCTAGGTGCATACCTGAGTCTCCAAGGTGGCTGATCTCCCAGAACAAAAATGCTGAAGCCATGAGGATCATTAAACACATCGCAAAGAAAAATGGAAAATCTCTGCCTGTCTCTCTTCAGGTGAGCCAGGGCCTTAAGTATCAAATCAGGGGACATGAAAAGGGAGGTTCTGGGAAGACACACGGACACCAGCGTTCTCGGGGGAGCACGGGACCAGCCCACCACCTTGCGTTTGGGCCTAACTTGTAGTGAAATGCAACAGAATATTTTATGTACTAAGATTTGGGGGTCCCTAGGAGAATACTCTAAACAGATGCAAAACATCAAACTAAAAGGGAACCAGAGATCTTTTAAAGGTCAAACAAGGAGTTTCTATCTTGTGCAACTCACACCTCTGCCGGCCACTCATGCCGCGCTTACCTGTGTGTCTGGCATCCTCGGGTCAGATTCTTAGATCAGTATGACAGTTCTTTTTTTCTTTCACTGAAAACTTTTCTATTGGCCCTTTGGATAGAAACAGGAATTTATTTGCTGGGAAGGATGATCCTATCACGATGCTGCTAGAACCAGTGCGGGCTCCTCTTGGTTGGTTCTGTGCTCGGCCCAGTTCAGCCCGTCCTGCACTTCTCGTCTGCAGCGCTGACACCCGGCTGCCCGGCACCGCACAGAGTCCGGCTGTGCGTGCTAGTGCTTGCGTCATATTCCATACCCGGACCGATATGCTCCTGGATCCCCAGACCAAAGTCTCCAGTATCTGACAAGTTATTTTTTCTTAACTCATACTCCCACACTCTTTAAACCTTTCTCCAGGAATTCTTCTGCCTTGGCCCCTCTGGCTGTGCAGGGAACAGCAATCTCATTTCTGCTGCTGCCAAAGGACCTGGCAGCGTATCTAGCCGTGGAGGACACAGGGTGCGAAGTTCCCACATAGGCTTCCCCTTTCCCCTCGATCTGCCACCATGGAGAACCAGAAGAGAGAACAGTTCTTTAAACACAAGCAATTTCTTAGCATTTTAAACATTGGATAGAAATTGCCCCAAAACATTTTAAGCAATCCGCTACCTTCTTAAATAGAATCGAGTTACTGAAGGCGCTTAGTGTTTGCCTTCAGTAGGTCTCACCACTTTGACCTCAAACCTTCTCATCTAATAGGGACTGGAAAAGAAAACATCAAGCTTATTAGGACATTACGTCAGAATGAGAGTAAATCATTTCTGAATGAGGATCTATTAATATGATAGGTTGCGTGTAAGAGCTTGAGATTTACATGACATTTAGAGTGAGCATTTGGGGGACTCAGAGGCCTTTCTCCTTCACTTTCTCCCTGGTTCCTGGGTGGCTGAAATGCGTGTCTGGCAGAACGCCTGATTCTCAGGGGTTAGATTCCTTCAGCGAAGGGCCAGTGGGCAAACCACACGAGAGTCATCACCTCCCAAGAGGTGACATCCAGGTGTTGGCAGAAAGCCTCCACTCCACCACCCGCCGACCAGACGCTTCTAGAGCAGAGTCCTCAAACCTTACCCCCTGTGCACAGGAACCACGGAGAACCTTGTGAAAATGCAGAGAGGTCTGTTTCCCGCCTATTTCTAACTCGCTCCAGGTGATGCTGGTGCCGGCGTGAAGGCCAAGGTCCAAGGCACAGCCTCCTGCCTGGTGGGTCACAAACGGGTCCAGGTGGCAGACACATCACTTCACCCTCAGCCCACAAGGCCGGGCCACGAGGCTGGGCGTGGATTATAGCAGCCACTGTGCTCTACAAATCACATCATCCCAGACAGGCACTACAGCAATTGCCTAACTTCTCCGCATCCCAGCTTCCTCCTCTGTAAAACGGGGTGAAAGAAATAGACCCTAACTTCTAGGATTTTTTTAAAGATTAAATGAGACCAAGTGTGCAAACTGTTTAGTGTAGTGCTGGGCTGGTGGTAAGCACTCGATGTAAGAAATTATTGTTATTCCCAGGGACACCACCATCAAATAGACAAAGCTGTTCGTCTGTGTCTTTTCTTAGAGCCTGAGACCCGATGAGGAAGTGGACGAGAAGCTGAACCCTTCCTTCCTTGACTTGGTCAGAACCCCTCAGATAAGGAAACATACTTTGATCTTGATGTACAACTGGTAAGGAATGTTCTTCACTTTAAAATCCCCCTGAAGTCTTTTAATCACAGTCAGCCACGTTAAGGGAAGAACAAAGGTGCCTTCAACATAGCACCTAACCCCAGTATTGGCACCAGCGGCGGGCGGCAGGTGTGCCTGACACACAGCAGGTTTCCCAGCAAGTGCTGAAATCCACCTTCAGTCCCTGAGCACAGATTGGGGCGTCCTCAACCTTGCCTTCATATTAGAATCACCTGGATCTTATAAAATACCAAGGCCAAACCCCCCCATCTCCAGAAATACTGATTTAATTGGTGTAGGGTAGGGCCCAGCGACCAATATGGTTTAAATGTTCCAGGTGATTCTGACATACAGCCAAACTCAAGAGCTATTGGTAGAGATTGATAGATGATGAGTGCAGATCTCTACGGCAGTACAGGGCTGGCAAGGAAAGAGATTTTTCTTTCCTACCTGGAGAAAAAAATAAATTAATGAATGAACAGGAACAATGTGTTGGCTCCGCAACCCAGTAACGCGATCTCCACCGTGCGGGCTGCGGGCGCTGGCAGAGCTTCGAGGCACGCCCTCCCGTGGGGACGCTGGCTTTCGGCAGCGCTGGGGCTCAGCCGGCCTTACGCGGAGCTCCCCAGGGGTCGGCCGAGCAAGCTTCACAGCACTGCACCGAAAAGGCGGCTTTGAAATCTGGCCTCATTATCCTTCCTTCCTTTTCTGAAAAACTGTGGCTCTTGTTGATTATCTTCACGTTTTCTGTTACATATAATGACCGTTTTTAGTCAATAAAGCTAAAAACATTGTCCAAAATGCTGTTTGCATCTGGTTGAGGGAGGAATCATCAAGAGAGGCGCTCTGCCCGTGTGGTCTTCTGATTTCCTAAAATTGGAATTAAGCGGCCCGCCCTTTCGATCCCACTGCGCTGGAAGACCACAAAGACAGACGAAATTCACAAGCACTCATAACTCGATCTAGTTTTACTAAACAAACTGCTCTGTTAAGACATTCTTTGCTGTCCATCTGGCCAGGGAATGCTATCCTAATTTCTTCCCAGGGTCCTCGGGTCCCAGCCAGCCGATGAAGGGGATCAGATTTTGTAAAGGTGGGGGAGGGTGGAGGGATCCCTGGGAAAGGTGGCCTACAGCCAACTCTTATTTTTCCAGAAGCCTCTGCCCTTGGGTGGCCCGTGTTTGGCACTCCACTTGACCTGAACTCTCCTCTCTGCTCAGGTTCACGAGCTCTGTTCTCTACCAGGGCCTCATCATGCACATGGGCCTCGCAGGGGACAATGTCTACCTGGATTTCTTCTACTCTGCCCTGGTTGAATTCCCAGCTGCCTTCATCATCATCCTCACCATCGACCGCATTGGTCGCCGTTACCCCTGGGCGGCGGCAAACATGGTGGCAGGAGCAGCCTGTCTAGCCTCAGCTTTTATCCCTGATGGTGAGTTTCAGGCCAAGCCGGGGTCTTGTCTCTAAGGCCTCGAGAAGAGGGGGTGTCCACAGCCCTTTGATGGGAAGACCATGTAATCTATCATTCAGATCCATTTGAAAGACGGAGAATAGTGTCCGGGACCTTCCTGAGCAAACCCATACGGCCTGCCTACCTTTAGGAGCAATTGTGCCCAACTGTTCCCTGATGTGATATAACAAAAGAGGCCATGGAGACCCTTGCTACGGGCCACCGAGCCAGCCCAGGGCAAAGCTGGGCTTTGGGGTAGAGCAGACCCAGGTTCAAAATCTGACTCCAGGACATCCCAGGTATTATTTAGCAACTCCTTTCACCTCCCTGCATCATCCTACAGAATAAATGAGAAAACTTAAGTAAATGCCATCAATAAACAATTACTCTATTCCTTTCTCTCCTTTTAAAAATGTTTTCTCAATGAAAGGGAGCAAAGGCCTGTATAATAGAATTCTTTTAACAACTTGGATTTGTTTTGATCCTTCCATTATTAGTAATTTTAAAAAATGTGTCCATGTTTTGCTGGTTTTTTAGAGTGACCTCTGTAGACTAAAGTTGGCCCAGCTTTGGAAACTGGCATAATTCCACTGTCATTAACAATGGAGGTCTAAAGTTAGGAGAGCACAGAGGATTTTTAGGGCAATGAAATTATTCTGTATGATACTATAACAGTGGATACAGGTTTGTCCAAAGCATAGGATGTACAATACTAAGAGTGAACCCTAGTGCAAACTGAGGATTTGTGGTGATCATAATGTATCTGTTTATCAGTCGTAACAAATGCACCACTTGGGTGGGGGGTGTTGATAATGGCGGAGATTGTGCATGTGCTGGGGCAGAAAGAGTATATGGGAAATCTCTGTATTTCCGTCTCAATTTCGCTATGAACCTAAAACTGCTCTAAAAAAATAGTCTTTAAAAACAAGAGCGAGCAAGTGTCAGAATCGTGTCTGAGGTTCACACAAACACACGTGAGAGCTTGCTGACATGATCTGCTTTCTCGCCCCATTCTGGAATGGGCGGCTTGTCCTCACAGCCCGCACCCCACGCCGCGGCTGGGAAGGGGGGCCGTCGGCAGCACGCGTGTGCCAGTGGTGTGCTTGTCCCCGCAGATCTGCAGTGGCTAAAAACGACTGTGGCGTGCTTGGGCAGAATGGGGATCACCATGGCCTTCGAAATGGTTTGCCTGGTCAATGCGGAGCTGTTCCCCACATTCATTAGGTGAGTGCCTTTGCCTGAGCATGACAGGGCACTCGGGCGTTTGCTTGTCGGCTGGAACTGCCACGGGCGCAGGCAGAGGGCGCCTTACTTTTCAAAACGCAGTGTAAGGGAAGGTGAGAAGATCTGAAGGCAGCAGCCGGGCCCAGCGGCTCCCCGCTCACACTACAGGCCGGTAGAACACAGACGCTGTGGCGAGAACAGAGGACACTGGGACACGGGGCAGGGCTCCCAACGGCTGCAGCAGAGCGCGATGCCGGGCAGCGCGGGCGGACGGGCCGTAGTGCAGCCAGGAAGCCCGGTGAAGGGAGCAAGGAGGAAGAACTGCTCTTCCTCCCGCCATGAATCATCTTAAAGCTCATGTACAACAGGAAATGAGTGGAATTATATACCTGTATTGTTTTTAGGCATTGAAACCAATGTAAACTTTTCCCCCCAGTTCTTAGATATTTTAATGATTTGGGGAAGTGTTTATTTGGAGGTGAGGTGGGAGATAATGTTACCCCGGCCGGATGAAGGCCAGCGTGCTGCCAGCAGGAGGTCATGGAGAAGTTGCCGAATAGCACAAGGTGCCAGGCGAGGCCCGGCATGGATTTCTCAGCCCCATCTCCTCTGGAATGTGGGGGCTAAGATTTTTGAAGGCGTTTTCGTGACCGGAGGGCTAGGGAATGGGGTCTGCTGGCTGGCTGGGGACGAACTCATGCAGTTGGGAGGCAGAAACAGTCTTCCTGGTAAACAGGAGTCTCTGGGCGGGGGCTCGCGGGCCCTGTGGGATCAGCCCCCACGCCGAAGGCAGAGTCTGGAAGACATCTCAAAAGCCAGCCTCAGGTTTTACCAGAGATGCCGTCTGCAGAAGCAGTTGGAGAAGTCACAAGTCTTGCCCCTGTGAAGGGACAAGCAGCGAGTGGTGACAGCATTAGGGAAGTTAGTGTTAGCTATGTCCACGCTTCTATAGAAATCAGACTTTTAGCGCTATTCCTGTCCATGGCCTTACGTTATTTTAATATGGGTGGTTTCCATAGCTACTGCACTTTGATAAATTAAAAAGTTAAATCAGTTGCCTGCATTTTAGGAACCTTGGTGTCCTCGTCTGCTCCTCAATGTGTGACATTGGTGGCATCATCGCTCCCTTCCTGGTCTTCCGGCTCACCGACATCTGGCTTGAGCTCCCACTGGTGGTTTTTGGTGAGAAATCCTCATAGAGGTTTTTAAACGAAAACCTGTGTTTTAGGGACCTTCATTTCTCTCTCTCTCTCTTTTTTTAAATTTTTAATTTTTTACTTTTTCTTTATTTTTTTCGTTATTTTACATCTGTTAATGAAGTCTCATAGAACCTTCATTTCTCTACTTCAAAATAGGCAGCGTGCCTATTAGTAAATACCAATCGCTACTACTCGTTAGTAAGGTTATTAGTATCAGCAGTGCTGGGGTGATACAGTGCGGGATTCATGCTGTCGGTCCCCGCGAGCACTCAGGTGTGGGCTCAGGCCTCGGCCCGAGGCGCACAGCCAGGGCGAGGCAGGGCCTCCCTGCAGCTGCCCTAACGCTCCGCCTCTCCTGTCTCGGCAGAGAGCTCACTCTTCTGCCTCCTCCACGTCCGGAGGGTGAAACACAAAGCCCCTTTGCTTCTTGCTTCCCAGAAAGGCAGTTACCATTTTGCAAAGGGCAATTCTGAAACCCGGAGGAAACAAAGACCCACATTAAGAAAAGGCATCGGCACAGTGGAGCCCCTGCGTGCTCGCTCCTCTGCTGCTGCCTGCGAGCTGGGGCCAGTGGGGATGTCCCAGCCCCGAGCCCCTCCCCTCCCCGGAGGACAGAAGGTGACAGGGACAAGTCCAGTCTTCAGCAGTTAACACACAGAGGCAGGAGCTCAACGTGAAATCTGCCGCCAGCCATGAAAGGGCGCTGGGGGTCCTGGGCACGTCCGTCCGTGGGCGTCCACTGCTGTCCCCACAGCTGCAGGCTCTGCGACACAGCCACTCCTGTGTGTCCCGCACACTCCTGCCGTGCGGACGCTGCTTCAGTTCACACACACGGCATCCGCCTTCCCTGGTGCCCCGGCCCACAGTGCACCCATCTCCGTCTCCTTCAAGACCCACTCGGAGCCACTTTTAATTCGAACGTGTGACGCTTCTTCCCTGGGTGTACGGCACTCACTCAGTTTGGGGGAAGGAGAAGAAAAGGCCCCACTCTCGCAGGCAGCCCAGGAAGCCCCTGGCCTCGTTCCTCCTCTTCCCCTCTTCCCAACCGATTTGCGAGGGGGACTTTTCCACTGCGGTGCGTCTGCCAGCAGAAGCCCCAAAGCACTGGTAGAACTCACCCTCGAAACAGACCCGCTGAATTCCTCCCATTCCCGCTGAATGACAGCAAGGTGGCCAGCGCTGGTGGAACACGAGCTCTTTATCCCGCGATACCCGTGGTCTGCCCACGGAGTAGCTGGCGCTGATGAGACGTGTGTGCCCAAACTCCTTTCTCCCCAACACTGGCTAACGAGCCTGTCCCCGGAGCCCCCTTTCCAGGTTGAGGCCACACTCTGGCCCCCTGTCTGCTAGGGAGGAAGTCAGAGCCATCTCAACATCAGCGACTCCCTTAGGTGGCCAGCGGGTGGCCGGTGTGTCAGTGGGACACTTCTGGGTAGCAAACAGATACTTCTTGTTTCTCTAAGTCTGTTTAACAAAGCAGTGCGAAATCCAGACCCAGAGGAACATTGTGGACCCTTGCTCATGCCTCATCTTCCACTGGGAAGGACAAAGGATTGTAACTACATTGCAATATATACAGGAAAATCAAAGACAATTCCAATTGTATTCTTGTGGGTAGTTAAACATCTTCCCTCACCAACCCTTCATCTGCTTAGTTAGCAGAAAGCAAAACCAATAGTTTTGCATTTTAGTTTCTTTCCTTTTCTTTCTATGCAAGAATGTCGTGCTAATTGTGGTCTTGAAATAGTTTTAAAACAGTAATTGAAGAAACATGAAAATCAACACATTGGAAAATCCTGGGTGAAAGACCGCTGGAGAAATTGATAAGGATTATCCCGGTTAATTAGGCCCATCTTTGCAAATACAAAATTCTGAATGAGGGATCATTTGATTAATCCATTGCATTCGTCACAGTCCCCTCACTTCAGAGATTCCGATGCCTGTGAATGTGCATTGTGTTTGCATTAGTTACGATGTAATAACCAAGGGAATCTTGGGAGCTTTGGAGCAGGTTGAGAGGCTGTTATCTAGTGAGCACTTCCACAATTCATACCACGTGCCAGGCACTATTCTCAGTGCTTGGCAAATATTAATTCATTTCAGCCTCTTAGGCCTGTGGGGGAATCTGGCCCAGCAGCGAGATTGCAGAACTTCCCAAGGCCCTATGACCAGTAAGTGAGGGAGGCAGCGAGGCAGCCCAGGCAGCCCAGGCTGTGTTTTGAGCCAATGTGCTCTGTGGCTTCTATTAAGCCCATTTTTAAGGGTTCAAAAATAAAGGCCAGTGTGCTTGTTTTGAAACCCCAAACTAGTAAGAAACCCATATCCCACTTCCTGCATTCCAACATAGAAGACATAAAAATATAACTTTAAAAGATTCCTTTTACTGGAATCTAAAGAAGCAAAAGCATTAACGTGTTCATTATTAAAAACTAGAGCCAGAGACAAGGATCAACAGGAATTTAGCGAACACCTGAATTTGAACTAAATGCCTGGCTATTCTTTATACTTTTTAGTGTCATTATGTAGTTACACATGATTTATTACTTTTATTTGCAAGTAATGATCCAAGTTTCTGAATTATTTTCATTACTAAGTGCTTTATACTGGCAGGGTTATGTTCTTCCTTTTCACACAGTTTTTTTCAAAGTTATTTTCTAACTCCAAAGTATCTTAATATGGTGGCAATGTCCCCTAGCCTAGAATAACCTTGACTCAAAATATTAAGTATTTCATTTCCCTATAAGGAATTGTAATTCAATGGAGTTGGGAATTGGTATAATATTTATGATGGAACATGGGGCAGTCGGAGATGGCAAAAGAATCTGTAAATAAATATAGAAAAAAAACACCCCCCCCAATTTTTTAAATAGAAAAAAGGAGAGCTCTAATTATAGAACCTGTGTTTTTCAGTTCTTAACGTGGTTTGCGTCTGTTTGGCTTTCAGCCGTGGTTGGCCTGGTTGCCGGAGCACTGGTGCTGTTGCTGCCAGAGACCAAAGGGGAGGCTCTGCCTGAGACCATTGAGGAAGCGGAAAACATGCAGAGGTAGGCAGCCCAAGTTCCTAAAGGAACTCTTTGTCAAAGGTTTGGGGACAACTCTGTAGCCAGTTGGAAAGGAAGATCAGAGCAAATCCATACCTCACACCGTACATCCAGATAAACGCAAACTAAATCAAAGACTTAAGAGTATAAAAAAGAACCAGTAAAATAATGAAGACGCCGTGGGAGGATTCCTTTATACTTTCGTGGAGGGGGAGGTCTTTCTAAGTATGCCCCAAAAATCCAGACCCCATAGAAGAAATATCAATACCTGTTTTTTGTTATTTCTGAATTTTGGACTATAGGAACCTAGTCAAAAAGTAAATTGAAAAAAATCTAAATGAAGAGAAACCTGTATGACACCCTCCCACAAGTGTGCTTATGCGGTATGCTTAGATAGTTCTATGTACTTTGTTTTTATGCCATTTTTGGCCTACTGGTGCCACAAACTGAGCTGAATTTTATCCGTTCTACGAAACCTTCATATTTAACATGTTCCTCGGAATTGTTCTTGGGCAAAACGTTGCCAAATCGCAGTGGTCCAAGGCTTTCCTAGAACTTGAGTCTTAGATTGGAAGAGGTTCTGGAATCCGACCAGAGGTCACACACCGGCAGCCCACGGGACACCAAGTCCTCAAGTTCTCTCTGTTTGGCCCACATGGTGTTTGGGGTTTTATTGTTGTTGTTTTTTAAGAAGGAAATTCCATATAAACTGGACTTCCAGGATCTGTTTTAAAAAACCAGAAGATTCGGTAACACTGAGCAGGTGTTCGCTCTTGTTGGCAATTTCTAGGGGCTGAGCGAGGGCTCGGCTTTCTGAGGGGCATGCCCTCTGCAGCAGGCCAAGTCCCTGCTGCTCCTTGTCGTCTTGTGTCTGGTGCATTATAGGGTCCACTTGGTGCATGCAGACATTGGAGCTTGAGACCCTGGATGGAGCCCAACCAGCCCCCCTCGACGACACCCGCGTCTCAGCACAGCCTCCCACGCACATGGGTGCCCCCCTCCCAGATGGGCGACTGAGTCCCGTTTACCGTGGCATCCCCAGAGCCCAGCACGGGACCTGGCACACACAGGGGAGGAGCTCACCAAACAGTCGGGGCACAAATGCTGGCGTTCCTTCCACGGCACCCTTGACTCAGGCTCCTTTTCCGAGGCAGCGTCCGCGCCAGGCAGGCAGGGACGTGAGCGGTGAGGAGCAGGGCTGTGGCGTCTGACAGGCTGTCCTCACATCGCTGTCCCTGTGGCCTGGCGGCCTGCAAGCCTCAGTTCTTCGCCTGTAAATGGGGGCAACAGTATCTGCTCGCTGGCGTCGGTCACAGCTAAACAAGCCGACGTGTGTAAGGGCCTGACGGTGGAGGTCCGGGAGCCACTGTCACTGTTCACAGAAGCTTTCATAGCTGTTCTGTGAAACAGGAAGACAAGCACCTAGACTATCTATTGAAATTCAAATTTTAAACTACGTCCTGAGATGTTTTAAGACAGAGAAATGTAGCTCAGGGACACACATACACGCCATTACTCATCAGAGTCATTTTCTTCAGGCCGGTTTTCAAAGCAGGCTAAGGAGATATTTCAAAAGAGTATTCCTGTTGTTATTTTATATTCTTTCGGTTTATGTGATCAACAAATACTCCTATGAAGATCTGCACTTTTCCTTTCTCTGTACCCAGTGACTGAGTTGACGTTCTCAGACAGAAGACAGGTCTGCGTGCGCGCGCGTGGTGTGGGGCATTGCGGGAGAGACTCGGAGGGGAGGCGGGGACAGCTGGGACAAGGGCCCCTGCAGCGGGAGGGCTGGGAGGCAGGGCCGTCTGGCAGACCACAGCTGGCACGGAAAGCTGACCCAGGTAGAGTGTCGCGGACACCAAGGAGGGCCAGCAAGAAAGGGCAGGGCCGAGAGCCCGTGGGTTCCTAAGGATGCTCGTCCTGTTCTAGTTACAAACGAGTACAGCCTGTGCGATTCTCGCCTGACGCCTTATTCGCCTCTTAAGCCTGTTTCCTTTTCTGTCGAATGAGGGTAAGAAGAGCCCACATTTACTCAGAGCTCTCACCCAGTGCCTCCCCAGCGTGCGCGTGCGGGCACTCCTCGTTTCATTGCATTACACTTTGCTTTATTGTGCTTTGCAGATGCTGCGGTTTTTTTTTTTTTTTTTTTTTTTTTTTTAATTTTTATTATCGTTTGACACCTTTTCAGGATGGGTAATGCTGCGGTTTTTTTGTGGGTTTTTTTTGGCAATTTAAAGGTTTGTGGCAGCTCTGCATTGTAATTCCCGCAGTACTTCAAACTTTTTCATTATTATCATATTTGTTGTGGTGACCTGCGATCAGTGATCTTCAATGTTACCATCGCAATCGTCTGGGGGCACCACAAACCGCATCCACATAAGACAGCAAACTTAACGGATGAATGCAGTGTGTGTTCCCACGGCTCCACCAGCCAGCCCTCCTGCCTCTCTCCCGCTCCGGGAGCCTCCCTATTCCCTGAGACACAACGGTGCTGACATCAGGCCAGTTAATAACCCACAACAGCCTCTAAACAGTCAAGGGAAAGGAAGAGCCACATGCCTCTCACTTCACATCGAAAGCCGGAAATGACTGAGTTCAGTGAGGAAGGCGTGTCCGAACCCAGAAAGGCCAGAAGCCAGGCCTCCTGTGCCCAACGGTCAGCTAAGCTGAGAGTGCAAAGGGGAAGTCCTTGAAGGAAGTTAAAAGTGCTGCTCCAGTGAATGTAGGAATGGCAAGAAAGAAAAACACCCAAATTGCGGGTATGGAGAAAGTATGAGTGGTCTGGATAGAAGATCAAACCAGCCACCACGGTTCCGTAAGCCAAAGCCGGATCCGGAGCACGGCCCTAGCTCCATTCAATTCTGTGAAGGCTGAGAGAGGTGAGGAAGCTGCAGAAGAAAAAATTGAAGCTAGCAGAGGTTGTCTCATGAGATTTAAGGAAAGAAGCCATCTCTGTAACATAAAAGTGTGTGGTGAAGCAGCAAGGGCTGATGAGAAGCTGCAGCAAGTTATTCAGAAGATGCAGCTAAGATAGTGGGCAAAGGTGGCTTCATTAAATGACAGATTTTCAAGGCAAACAAAATAGCCTCATAATGGAAGAAGATGCCATTTAGGACTTTCATAGCTAGAAAGAAGTCAATGCCTGACTCCAGAGCTTCAAAGGAAAGGCTAACTCTCCTGTTAGAGCTAATGCAGCTAGTGACTCTATGTTGAAGCCACTGCTCATTGGCCATTCTGAAAATCCTAGGGCCCTTACAAATTATACTCAATCTACTTTGCCTGTGCCCTACAAATGGAACAACAAAGCCTGGAATGATAGCACGTTAGTTTGCAGCATGGTTTACTGAATATTTCAAGCCCACTGTTGAGACCTACTGCTCAGAAAAAAGATTCCTTTCAAAATATTAATGTTCATTGACAATGCACCCAGTCACCCAAGAGCTCTGATGGAGATTTACGAGGAGATGAATGTTGTTTTCATGCCTGCTAGCACAACATCCATTCTGCATCCCATTGATCAAGGAATAATTTAATTTCAACTTTCACAACTTATTATTTAAGAAATACAGTTCATAAGGCTATAGCTTCCACAGATAGTGATTCTTCTGGTGGGTCTGGGCAGAGTGAATTGAAAGCCTCTGCAAAGGATTCACCATTCTAGATGCCGTTAAGAATATTTGTGATTCATGGGAGGAGGTCAAAATATTTGGAAGAAGTTGATTCCAATAGTCACGGATGACTTCGAGGGTTTCTAGACTTCAGTAAACAAAGCAACTGCAGATGTGGTAGAAATAGCAAGAGAACTAGAATTTGGAAGTGGAGCCTGAAGATGTGACTGAATTGTTCCAATCTTATGATAAAACTTCAACAGATGAGGAGTTGCTTCTTATGGATGAGCAAAGAAAGTGGTTTCTTGAGATGGTAATGATGCTGTGCACATTGTGGAAACTACAGCAAAGGATTACCAATATTACATAAACTTAGTTGATAAAGCAGTGGCAGAGTTTGAGAACTGACTCCAATTTTGAAAGAAGTTCTGCTATGAGTAAAATGCTATCAAACAGCATTGCCTGCTACAGAGAAATCTTTTATGAAAGGAAGATTCAACTGATGTGACAAACTTCACTGTGGTCTTACTTTAAGAAATTGCCACAGCTACCTCAACTTTTGGCAGCCACCACCATGATGGTCAGCAGCCATCAACATCAAAACAAAATCCCCACCAACAAAAGATTATAACTCACTGAAGGGTCAGGTGATTGTTAGCATTTTTTAACCCTTTGCACTTGGTTGCCTTTTTCTCGATTCCTTTATTCTACTCGGGATTTAATTTTTTAAATACCCCAGATTTTACAAAGCACGGCAGTAGAATAAAAAACTGGAGTTTCTTTTCATACAAACTTATTTATTTGGATTTTTTATATTTCAAATTATTGGTACATTCAAAGAGTAATTTTAATCTCTATAATTTTTGCTAACCATGTCGAGTCACACTCGACATCTGAGTGCAAAGGGTTAACAATAAAATATTTCAAAATTAAGGTATATGCATTTAAGACATAATGCTATTGTACACTTAATAGACTACAGCATAGTGTAAGCATAACTTTTATAGGCACTGGGAAACCAAATTTTCTGTGACTCTTTTTATTGCAAAATTTGCTTTATTGTGGTGGTCTAGAACTGAAACTGGAATATCTCCAAGGTATGCCTGTATCCCCTCATTGATTCCCCACAACAACTCTGTGAAACAGGTATTCTTATTAACCCCTTGACGACTGAAAAAAACCTAGGGCAGAGAAATTAAAGGCACACAGCTGGTAAGTGACAAAGCCAAAGTTTCAATACTGACGGCCAGATTCCATGGCCCAGGTTCTTGTCTCTGCCTCAGGGGTTGGGCTCACAAATGCTAAAATGCAGTGAATTGCCCAGTGCAGTGCCTGCGTTTAGTCTCCAGTGGCTGGTGTGGCTGCTGACTTTGCTGCTGGTGCTATTGTCATTGTTACTATTGTTGCTATTGTTATGGGTGCTACTGCTGTTCTTGTAACTGTTGTTGCTAATGTTTTTATTGCTGCTGTTACTGTTGTTGCTGCTGATGCTGATGTTGTTGCTGATGCTACTATTATTCTTGTTATTGCTATTATTGTTGCTGATGCTTCAGCTGCTGTTGTTGCTGCTTCTATTATTGTTGCTACTGTTGCTGTAGTTGCTATTGCTATTGCAGTTGTTGCTACTGTGGCTGCTGCTGTTGCTGTTAGTTTTTACGATGCTGTTGCTATTACTGTTGCTACTGCTCTTTCTGACATTGTTATTACTGCTGTTGTTGCTGCTCTTGTTGCTGGTATTGCTGTTGTTGCTGTTATTGTTGCTGCTGTTGTTGTAAATGTTGCTGTTGCTATTGCTGCTGTTGTTGCTGCTGCTGCTATTGCAGACTTTGTTTTTGCTGTAATTGCTGTTGTTGATTATGATGCTATTTCTGTTGCTGCCATTGCTGACATTCTTGCTTCCACTACTGTTGTTGCTGATGCTCCTGTTGCTGCTACTACTGTTGCTGCTCTTGTTGTTGCTGCTCTTTTTGCTGCTGCTATTGCTATTGCTGCTGTTGTTGCTGCTATTGTTGCTACTGCTGTTGCTGCTATTGCTATGACTGCTGTTGCTATTGCAGGTTTTGCTACTGCTGCTGCTGCTGTTGTAGTTGCTGTTGTTAATTGTTACATTGTTACTGCTGCTGCTGTTCCTGTTGCTGCTACTGCTATTGATGACATTGTTGCTGCTGTTTTTGTTGCTGCTCTTGCTGTTACTATTGTTACTGCTATTGTTGCTGTTGATTATGATACTGTTGCTATTGTTGCTGCTGCTGCTGTTGCTGACATTGTTGCTATTGCTACTGCTGCTGTTATTGTTGCTGTTGCTGCTATTGCTGTTACTGCTGTTACTTCTGCTGTCACAGTAGCTATTATGATGCTGTAGCTAGTGCTGTTGCTGCTGCTGCTATTGCTGATATTATTGCTTTTGCTACTGTCGCTGCTGCTGATGCTATTGTTATTATGATTGCTATTGCTATAGCTGACATTGTTGCTCCTGCTGCTGTTGCTGTTGTTATTATTGTTGCTATTGTTATTGTTGCTGCTGATGCTGCTGTTGCTATTGCTATTGTTGATACTGCTGTTATTGTTGATGCTGCTGTTGCTGCTACTATTGTTGTTGCTACTGCTGCTGCTATTGTTGCTATGGCTATTGCTGTTGCTGCTGTTATTGCCGCTGTCGATATGGCTACTGTTGCTATTGCAGTTTTTGATATTGCTGCTGCTGCTGTTGCTGCTGCAGTTGCCATTGTTGATTATTATATTGTTGTTGCTGCTGCTGCTGCTGCTGTTGCTGTTGCTACTGCTATTGTTGCTGTATCTACTATTGCTGCTGTTTTTGCTCTTTCTGTTGTTGCTACTGCTGCTATTGCTATTGCTGTTGCTGCTGTTGTCACTGTTGTTGATTCTGATGCTGTCATTAGTGCTGTTGCAGCTGCTGATATTGCTGCTGTTGCTGCTGTTGTTGCTGATGTTGCTGTTGGTCCTGCTATTGCTGCTACTCTTGCTGCTGTTGCTGTTGTTGTTACCGTTGTTGCTTTTGTTGCTGCTATTCTTGCTGGTTCTGTTGCTGCTGCTATTGTTGCCGCTGCTGTTGTTGTTGCCATAGAGACCATGAGAGCTCAGCAGACTTGATTGTACCCCTCCATCTGGAATTTGAGAGAACCCCAAAACTACAGGATGATTTGGGCGAGATTCTGCTATGCCCCACCTCACATTGGACTGGTCCAGAAGTTTAGGCAGGACTAATCACCTCCAGGTGGGGGAAATTCTTCGAGGAGCCAGATGTCTGGAAGCAGCCCACACCTGATTCAATATTACTATAAACAAGAACAGGTCCAAAGGGCGTGGCTGGGAACAACAAAATGAAGAAAGCAGCATTTCTATAATGACTATCAGCAACATCTTGGCCTTCACAAAGACAAGATGATTGAGAAAATTTGCATTTGAACGAATGTTTTAATTGCATTCCTCACTTGCCAAACTGTTGAAAAATAAATGAACTTTGGTAAAAAATAATTTCTCCAATTCTATTTGCAGAAACTGGTGATAACAACGTCTAGATTTTAAAGTCATCATCTTGTACTGACATAAGATTAAATTTAGACTTTATCTACATTCTCCATTACAGAGAAAGGTGGAACGCCCTAAGAAAGGAACTTATTTAGGCCAATTCCACATCTGGAGAGGTTTCCAGGAACCACTCCATCCACATTAGTTATTCAACAAGCTCTGTCTGTTTTCTTTATGGGAATCACTGCTCAGAGCACTTTGCAAGACTAATCCTGGACAAAGGTTATACCCATTTATTACTCCTTTTATTTATTATAATATTTGCTTTATTTTGGTTTTCAGCCTCCTCATAATTTCTTTCTCCCCTATTTTTATTTCTTATTGCAGACCAAGAAAAAATAAAGAAAAGATGATTTACCTCCAAGTTAAGAGACTAGACATTCCATTAGACTAAGAAGAGAGTCCTCTACTCCTGCTATGTCCTTGCTTTGGTGATGCCAAGGCTGGAAGCAGAGGTTTCTTCACTCATCACAAAGCCCAACGATCCGACCTTCCCTACCCTGGAGCCCCATCAACTGAGACCTTCGGCCCATGGAGTTTGTTGTCCCCTTTGTAAGAATGTGCCTCCCGGACCAGATCCTGCCAAACTCTCCCAGCTTACTCTATTCTCAGCATTCCTAGGACAGTGGCCACTGGTTTGCTGGAATTTTTTTCCCCCATATTTGTATTTTTTATTTGATTCCTTTTCCCACAATGACATCAAACCAGAATACCTAGGGGGACTGTGGGCCAGTGACACAGAAAGGATCTGACAAACAATAAAGTTGAGAGAGATAGACTATTTTCTTTAAGAAATAAAACATCCAACACAATATTGAGTTGTCCAGAATGTATGCGAAAAACTTCAAACAGGCCTTTCAGGATCATAGGTGAGAATATTTAAAATACATTGATTGTTATCTGGATTAGACTTGAAGGGGAACTCAAATAAAAGAATCAGGAATACAACTTGAATAATCACCAAGTCCTTCCATAGTTACACTGGATAAGTACAAATGTGTGATTTCTAGAAAAGATCTTGAGAAGAGTTCAGGTTCACGAAAGAGCATTGTTGGCAATTTTAACCCAGAGATGATAATTTTTTAGTCTAGTAAAAATTCCTCAAAATTTCTGGACTTTAAAAAGTATATTAATATTATATCAAAGTAATATAGTGAATATATTTTGAAAAGCTAAATACTATAAGGCCTGTAATGAAAAACTAAATTTCCTTGCCCTATTCCACCTCTACAAAAACCCTGGAGAAATTTTTCAACTATTTAGCTTTGTTTTCCCTAGATTGATCTCCATGCATCTAAATAATTTCTTTATATTGAAATTTTTTGATTTTTTAGTTTTAAATATTATCTATTGACTCTTTAATATAAAAAATGAAAATGTAGCTCTCTTCACCTCTCCTTGTCATCCCAACACACTACTTGTCTCTGCCTATAATCTTTGTATTGTCACATTTTTATTAAATCAAATAGTGAACATTCATTGACCTCATTATGGCTGTTACTAACGCTGAGCCACATAGTGTACTACGAGGGTGCTTCCTTTCTCTCACAACATCTTGTTTTTCCTGACCTTGGTTTTTATTGCTTTGTTTTCTATATATTCACCATTAATTTTCCCCAAACTCTCTGACAGAGCAACAAATCTCCTCTCAATGTATTCAAAAGCATCACACACTGGTTCCCTTTCTTATCTTTTTTCTTGAGAGTCCTCCCAGCTGGAAGCGCCAGACCTCCTGCTTTGTCCTGGCTGATCTCTAGGCTCCTGCACAGCTGTTGCTGTGGCTGTCCTTCCTCACCTTCCTGATCATTCCCATTGCCTCTTTCTCCTGTGGGATCCCCTGTCTCCTGCATCCAGAGTCCTCTCTTTCTTGGTTTTCTCTCTGATTTTGAAGAAGCACATCTTGCAATGGCTTCCCGAGAAAGAGTGCGTGCCTGTCCTGCGCTCTCTTCTGCGGCATCGGTGCTGAAACCCACAGACTACATTTCCCAACCTCTTTTCCACCCGGCCTCCTGTGAGGCTATACTGATGGGTAGCACTGGCCAGAGAGAGGAAGGCACCAACAAGTTCTTGGGCTCCAGCCAGTAGCAACTACCACTTCCTGGTCTTTGTGTATAAACGCTTTCCCCTGTCTAGCATGTCTTTGTCCTTTCTACTCTACCAATGGTTTTGTAAACAAGTGTCTATATTAAATTGCCTCTATTTGAAATACCTAGAGTGGTTTCTGTTTTGCTGAGTCATCGCTGATTAATACTCTACTTGCTACTGTGAGTAGACCTAGGAACTAAATGCCCAAATACGGGAATCTGGGGTGTGTTTAGTAAGGGGATCGAACACACTGATGACTTCATTCTCAGTGAAAATTGGGATACTGATAGTATCTATCCATAGTACACAGTGGCAAAACAGCCACTTAAATTATTAGCTGTGATTACTTGACATGAACTGCCTATTCCAAGAAGACTTTGGACGGCCAAGTGATTGTTGAATGTGATCACTGCTGTGGGCATTATGATCTCAAAAACTCTGGGGTAGGGCTGGCTGGTTCTGATTCCACTGCAGAAATTAAAAAAAGAAAATAAGAACTTGAGGGCTTTAAAATACCAAGTTGAGGCATTGTCAGAGAAGGAGATAAACTCCTATAATGGCCCTAAAGGAGATTCATCAGATTTATAGAGGCAAGGGTAAAAAACTGTGGAAAGCAGACTCAAAAATTGATGCTATGGGTTATAGAATTGCATCATAGGTTGAATGCACAGCCTAGTCTGGTCTCTGAAATGAAAGTCACACAACTGGTGTGAAGGAGGAGACCTCTGAGAATTGGGATGAAGACACTGAGTAGACTCAAGTGAATCTGAAAATCTTAAACCCTCAAACCCACTGCACCTCCTTTGCCAAAAGAAGCAGCCCCTCTTTTCCTTTTTGAGAAAAAGATAATCTCCCCTTGCTTGAGCACTTCTAATCACTTCATCTGAGTTAGGTACCTTGAGAGGGGTGCCAGGACTCCTCGAGACCTTCCCCACCCATTTTTGCCCCAGTATGCCTAGAGTAGATTCCTGCTCACAGTTCAAGGGGAGAAGGCAAAAGTCTGTCTAAGGAAGAGACAGCTCACACATCAAAAGAATTTCAAGATTTTGTAACTTATCAACAAAAGTCAAGGGAAAATTTAGGAATAAATTGTAATGATGCTAGACTCAGGAGGGTGAACATGATGCCGGATCAGGTCAGATTTGTTGATATGAGTTCCCTAACCCAAGATTCTGGATTTAATGTGCTAGCTGAAGCATTGGGCATTAGCTCCAAGAGTTTGCAGATCAAGAATTTCAGAAAAAATACAAGTGACTATTTCCATAATTTGGAATAAGGAAGGGCGTATTAGGTAAGAACAAAATACAGGAGATGCAAAACAAAAGATTGATCAATTTGACACAAAAACAAGACCAAATTAAATGAAGCTAGCTAAGTAACACACACACACACAGATACACACACAAACACACATACCAAAAATAAATTTAATAGATGGGTGACATATTTGAAAAAATATAAAATATGTAAGGAACTAAGGTCCAAAAGAAATAATGTGCTACTATAGATCAATAAGAAAAAGACAGTCAAATGAGGGAAAAAAGATCCAGGCCTACAAATAGTTATTTACAGAAGAAAACATAAAAATGGTCAATTAATTTATAAAAATATGTGCATTCTCATTATTAATCAGGGAAATAGAAATTAAAATAACAATGAAATTTTTTTCACTGAGATTAATTAACTAAATTGATAATATTGGGTTTGTACAAGGGTGTAAATAAGCTTTCATACTTTGCTAGTGGAGGTATTGATCGATACTTTTTTTTTCTTTTTGAGATAGATTCTCACTCTGATGCCCAGGCTAGAGAGCAAATGGCAATAGCTCACTGCAACCTCAAACTCCTGGGCTCAAGTAATCCTCCTGCCTCAGCTTCTGCGTAGCTAGAACTACAGGTGCACGCCCCCAGGCTGGCTAACTTTTAATTTTTTGTAGAGATGGGGTCTCACTGTTGCCCAGGATGGTCTCAAACTCCTGGCCTCAAGAGATCGTCCCACCTTGCCCTCCCAGAGTGCTAGGATTACAGATGTGAGCCCCCACGCCCAGCCTGATACATTGTATTAATACAATTTGACAGTGCCCATCAATATTATAAATATGCATGTCTATGACCCAACAATGTCACTTCCACATATCTATCTTTGAAAACACATATGTGCACAAGGAAGCATTTCAGAGATGCTAATTGTGGAATTTATTGGCAACAGCAAAAATTGGAAATAACCAAGTCCATAAACGTGAGGAATGCCTGAATAAACTACAGTACATCCACTCATCAGTTAAAAGGGAAGGAAAGAGATTTGTAGATGCTCTATAGAAAGACCTCCAAGACAAAAGGCAAAGGCAAGTGTCAGAACAGCAGTGTAGGAATGACGGGACACACGGCTAACTGAGGGCCTGTGGAGCGGAGGTCTGGGACTGGGCAGTGCACAGGAAGGGATTTTAGATTTTCCTGTAGTTCATGTATTTCCATGTTTCCATGTTCATGTCCTGTGTTCATATTATGTTTTTAAATAAATGATTACCTCTGAAAAATAAATTGGCAGTTTTATAAAAAAAAACTAAACATGCACTTACCATGTGACCCATCAATGGCTCCCCTGGGCATTTATCCCAGAGTAATGAAATCATATGTGCACACAAATGATACACGCGGTCAGGCATGGCAGCTTTGTATGTAATCGTCAACAATTGGAAACAACTAAATGCCCTGGTGTTGGTTGGTTTTGAACTGCTGTAAAGGGACGCCTGAGGCTGGGAAACTTATCAAGAAAGGTTTATTGGGCTCCTGGTTCTGCAGACGGTATAAGAAGCATCGGGCCAGCATCTGCTTCCGCTGAGAGCCTCAGGGAGCTGCCAACTCAAGCAGGACCTGAGGGGAGCGTGCATGTCCCATGGCCAGGGAAGGAGCACAGAGAGGGAGGAGGTGGTGCCAGACCCTTAAACAACCAGCAGTCGTGGGAACTGAGCACACCAGAACTCACTCATTATCGAGGGAGGGCAACAAGCCATTCATGAGGGCCGTCCCCATGATCCAAACACCTCCCGCTAGGCTCCCATTCAGCACTGGGGATCTAATTTCAACATCTGATTTGAAGGGGCCGGACATCCAAACCCATATCACCCCTCAAGGGGTAACTGGTTCAGCAAGTTGTGGTGCATCCATACTAAGGAATACTGCTCAGCAAGAAAAACAATTAATATCCATACCTACATAACTTGCGTGGATCTCAAGGGGATTATGCCGAGTGATAAAATCCAATCTCAAAAAGTCATTCTTGAAATGAAAAACTGTAGAGATGGAACACAGATTAGAGGCTGGTTGTGGTAGTGGTTACGCAAATCTACACATGATAAAATAACACAGAACTATACTCACATATGGTACTGCACCAACGTCAGTTTTTGGGTTTGGATATTGAACTGTAATTACATAAGCTATGACCCCTAGGGGACACGAGGTGAAGGGTACCCAGGACCTCTCTGTAGAACCTACAATTATTTCAAAATAAAGCTTTAAGAAATAAAAAATTGAAACTACATGCAGGATTTTAAAAGATTGGATGCTATGAGAGCCCAGAAGAGGTCATTTCGCTATAGCAATGTGACTTACAGTTATCGATCTTGATGCCTTTGAAATCTGAAGAAAACTGATTCCTCTCCCCAGAAAAATACGGAGCCAAAATGTGCACACACTTTCCTAGACTGTACTGCTCCCTCACCCGATTAAGAACTGTTGCTGTGACACAGAGGTTAGCAAACCACAGCCTGTAGGCAGAATCCAGCCTTCCCCTATGTTTTAAATAAAGTTTTATTGGAACACAGTCACAGCCGTCATTTATATATAGTCTATGGCTGTTTTCAAGCTACAGCAGTGGGTTGAGTAGCTGCTGCAGAGACTCTCCTGCCCACAAACCTCAAAATATTTACTATCCGACCCCCTGGGTATAATTCTACCCCTATAACCTGAAGGAACATTGGAGCCAAAAAGAGTAAGAGCAGAGAAGACAGTATCATCAATATCCTAAAAGCTGCATTTCACTTTCTGTGTGCCTGGAATTAAATATCATTTTTTGTAGGCAAACAGGCAAGTGGTTAGATTAAAAGGCGGCAATTTGGAAAGAAGAACAAAAACTAATGTTTATGGAATGCCCCTGGGTGTGGATTGTGCTCTCTGTGCATGTGTCCTGGGAGTCCCTCCCCGCACCCCCAAGGGGAGGCTGGGCTGCCATCTACCTGGGACCCCGGGCCTGGGCTGTGCCCAGGGCATGGTGATGCCACCAACCCCTCACTCCTGAGTCTGGGAGGTGCTTGTGAGTGGAAGGCCAACACACTATCCACATTGTTCCAGACAAGCTCAGGAGAATCCCTTGTATCCAACGCCCATTTATCAAAGAGCACATTATTTTAATTTAAACTAAAACAAATAATTATTTGCCTCTGATGAAGGATAAAGATCTTTCAATACAGGTCTTCTGATAGAAGTTCCACGTGCTGCTTCTTGCATGTGCCACATTCATAATTCATTGTTTGTGATTTGCAATTTCGATTTCTTTAAAGTAGAGCTAGAACTCGAGACATTTTGAAACATTCTGAATCCCAAATACCAGATTTTTACAGTACATTTTCCTTTACATTTGATTCATCCCCATTTAATTAGACAGCATTCTTTTTTTTTTTTTTTTTTTTTGAGACAGAGTCTCGCTTGTTGCCCAGGCTAGAGTGAGTGCCGTGGCGTCAGCCTAGCTCACAGCAACCTCAAACTCCTGGGCTCAAGCAATCCTGCTGCCTCAGCCTCCTGAGTAGCTGGGACTACAGGCATGCACCACCATGCCCGGCTAATTTTATATATATATTAGTTGGCCAATTAACTTCTTTCTATTTATAGTAGAGACAGGGTCTCGCTCTTGCTCAGGCTGGTTTCGAACTCCTGACCTCGAGCAATCCGCCCGCCTCAGTCTCCCAGAGTGCTAGGATTACAGGCGTGAGCCACCGCGCCCGGCTTGGACAGCATTCTTAGTGATTCACATTTATTGACTGCTAAGGAAGCATTTAATTTGCATTAATTAAATTACAAAATGTAACTCATTTGCGGATTTACATTTCACCAGGTTA